AGTGGGAGTCTTATTACCCGTGACCTTGGAGATCTTGTTAAAAGGGAACAATTTGTCATTGACTCGGAATACCTTGCCACCCTAGTTGTGGTTGTTCCTAAGTAAGTTATCCAAACATTACTTTATACTTAGGAATCTGTATAATGACTGGAAATCGAATTATGAAACCATGACAGACATGGTAGTTCCCAAATCATCAGAGTAATTTTGATACATTGTATTTGAATTCTTAAGACTTATATTTGAAGATCAAGACAATGGTCTTTGGACCGTTACACTTTTCAAGAAGATGATTGATGATTTCAAATCTCAGGCTCGCGAGCATAAGTTTGTCTGATTTTCCACAAGACATTTTGTAGATTCGTGGTGCGTGATTTCACGTATGATGAAAAAAAAATTGAAGAGAGTAAACATGAATTATCGAAACTCGAGTCAGACAAGAAGCGGCAATTTGTAAGTTTTCAGATTTAATTTTAGTCTATGTCGTATCAATCGAACTTTAAAACCATTGTTTTACTACTGATATCCGCATATTCCAAAGTTGTGATTTGTCAGACTAGGCAATTATTAAGTTACACTTTATAGTTTTTACCGCGTTGTGAGAGTTTTGCAACAGTTTTTTTTTACTACTGTTAGTCAGTCTGTTTTGCCTTCTTTCTGGGAGGTCTGGGTTTTCAGTCACAGTTCTGCTTTTCGGTCCACTATGCATGGAAATTAACACTGAACCCATCAGTTAACACTTTTTATCACTTTCGGTGGATGAATTGCCATTTATAATGATACTTTTTGGACTACTAAAAGTTTCTGACACCTTCAGTCCTTGCTTCTTAATGATGGTATGTGTAGGTGGTTAAGTCGCACATATAAGCAACATTTTATCATCTTTTCGTAAGAGTCAAGCACTAATATGTAGTTAGTTTAGGACTTGGTAAAACATAACAAACATTGAGATATTTCTCTTCATAATGTTAAAATGGTTGGTTTTTAGAAAAAAGACATTTTTATTGCCGTTCTCATCACAAGTTAGTGTAGCTGCTGTCTCAGTTCTTATTTTCATGCATGCCCCGAAGTTGCAATTTTGAGCTTAGCCATCACAATTAATTGCATCAAAACCCCTTTGTGAAGTTATGAAAGTACAACGTATTGATTTTGGAGAGACCTGTCACATTTTAACTGATTTCCCTTTAAATGCGGATAATCTACTTACGCATTCAGGTCCTAAGCAAGTGGTTTCATTTTCAAATCTTGCTTCATTTGATTTAGCCTTGACAACTATGTCATATTACATTCAGGATAAATGATAGGTATGTACATGGGTTTCAATACGTTTTAAAGGTTGGTGTTATTACGTAATTTTCTGAGTTCATAATCCATTGTTTACTTTAATCTTCACTAGGCACCGCTATTTCGATGGTTGAAAGTTAATTTTGGTGAGGCTTTTTCCGCTATGGTTCATATTAAAGCTCTTCGGGTATTCGTGGAGTCTGTTTTACGGTGAGAACCTTTATAAGCTTATTTATAGTTCATGAGAACATATTAATTCGCCTTAAAATCCGTATAAAGGTGTGTTCTGCAATGAATTTGCTAATATTAGTGAGGCGTATTTTAGGATTTTAAAAATCATGTGTGCCTGCACCTGATGACACCGTCTATAATTGCTTTGCTTTTCCATCCAGCAAATAAATAGTCAGAATTATTGAAGTATGGTCTACCGATCCTGTAAAGCTTCGTGAACTAGACGCCGAGACACTTGCAGTATAGTATGTTAGGTAAAATCCTTCCCGAATTTGTAACAGGACTAAATCACTAGACTGTACAGCTGCTACGTACACAGCAGAATATATAATAAACGTCCACATAGTATAATAATAAATCCACTACCCTACAGGCAGTAAGTACAGTGTATGTTCAAGTTGTTATACGAAATAAATGACCTGGTATTGCCGACGGTAGGTAGACTCTGGTTATAGGTAATTCTATTTTAATTTGTTTGTTAAATATATCACAGTAGAACGGTGTTATTCAGTGGCTGACGTTTCGAACGCAATCTGTCGTTCATAATCATATCAAAACTATAAAACAAATTTCAAAGTTGTGTAGTTATAATTGATATGATTACGAACAAGCGTCAGTCAGCAAATGATACTATTTCACTGTGCGACGTATCTAATAAACAAAATAATATGGAAAGACTCAGGTTTTCCTCTCGGAATGCTGTCATATGGCCAAGCTTTCATAGGCTTCGTCAGGTAAGTCCTTGGCGGTGGTTACCAGCAATACAACAAGTATACTAGCTCGAAGAGTACCTTTAAATGGAATATGCTGGATATAATGCAGTTGTATATTTACTTCGACAGTGGTTAGTCACAAAAAATATTTAGGAGAGAAATTTGTGCATCTGTTAGACAAAAAGGTTATGCATAATTCTGAAGATGTCTTTACATGAAAGCTAGTATAGAGTAGATTACTTACTGATCAGCCTGTAATATGTATTAGTATTAAAATCATTTTGTTCATGTGACCATGAAGTGACCCTATGAGTAATTTCTCACCTCCGCACTTGAAGGTCAGAGGTCTTATTGCTTGTAAAGAACGCATCGAAACAGCATTTCATGACTTTTATAGATTTAATCGTCCAGAAGCTTATCATAATCGTACATAAAGAAATTAGGTTTATCATATCATCACAAAATGAATCATACGACACACAAATGTAATTCAGATGGAATTTAATAGATGCCATCATCCACGAGTGTTAGCGTGCAAGCTTTCTCTTTTGACGAAATACCCTCGGGGTCTCGCATAACTTATACTCTAAAGATTTGTGTACGTCAATTGTAATTTCAATACTACGCAGTATCAAGGATTGCAAAATGTTGGGCAGTTTAAATGATAGCTTAGTATTTTCGGAGTTGACAATTATATATGAAAAATAAATTGTAGTCCAGTGACAGTTTAAATTTCGCATACCTAGTTGCAAATTACCTGGGTGCTATTAAAATCTAGCTAATGGAGGAATGAATACTATTAGTCAAATATATAAAAGATTATTAAATTAAAAGGTTTGATATTAAATGTCCATTGATAACCCCTGTGTCAGTGAAGACGATGTATCTTGTATTGTGAGCGAAAATTTAGATTCACTTCTGGTTACCTTGGGTTTTTCTTTCCACTTGCTTGATTTTTCTGCACTCGTAGCACATACTGGTTGTGAGTTAATCTTAAATTTTATTTCAGATATGGGTTACCTGTAGATTTTCAAGCAATACTGCTTGAGCCGAGCAAAAAGCAACAGAAAAAGCTAAGAGATATACTAAAGCAGCTCTACAGCCACTTGGATGGAACGTCTTCAAGTTCAATTACGGACGTAAGTTCTCTTATGGCATTTTATAATTTGTGCACCATTTGGATAAAAATGCTGGCTCTAAGTCTTTATGTCAGCCATCTGAATTTTAAACCGACCAATAAATGCAACCACGATATGTTGGTCTAACATGCATATTGCAATGACCCGACGAGCTATGTTGCCTGAAACCATTCTTCCTGGAGAGGTTAGCTGGAAGGAGGGGATGGAGGTGTTGAATAGAAGGAACAGCAGCAGTCATCTCAATTATAAAATGCATGGACGGTGTTCTTATAGTTTTTCGCTATTAACAAGGAGTTTAATATATATATATATATATATATATATCCAAAGGCTCAGGATGGTTGGGGGTGGATGCCTTGCGCTGCGGGTTGGCCACCCCTCGGCACACCTCTTGAAATGCTCCCATATGACCGGGCGTCTTACATAGCCTCTCCTGAGGAAGTCCTACTCACTGACTTCACGTGGCGGTGTTTTTCACCAAAGTAAGAGGGCGAAAGCGGATGCCCGGCGCTCTTCACCGGGTTGACTGTCCATTGGATGACAGTCTAGGGGAGATGGCTAAACCGTGATTCCAAACCTCCAACAACTGGCGTATGAAGCTCACTGGAGCTCACCGGCAGACGTATGGACGAAGGGCTTGTTGGATGCCCTGGATGTCTGGCCCCATTCAAAAAGGCGTATGAACCGAACTCCGGTCACCGGCTGCCAATGGATAGTGGACTCCCTACTCCACTCCTACTGCCTTGTAGGTCACACTCGGTTGTGTAAAGGCTAGAGCTGCACTCTGAAACAAAAGGCCGAGCGATTCTGGGGACATCACTCGTACTCTCTTACAAACGTGGTACAGTCAAGTCTGATATGGAGTGCCTGGGGCCACAAACCGTCTACGGACTCCGTCTGTGGAACAAGAATTGGATAACCCTGTCGCAAAACCTTCCATCAGATCGCCGCGCCTGGGCAGCGATGATTCGAGATGTTCATGAAGCCGGCTCATCCTCCCGTAGGAGATAGCCGAAGTAAAGTAAGTAAGTAATATATACAAGGATATCGTCCCGAAAGTGTTGCGTAGTCAATGGTAAATACTAGGTGCAGGTGTTATCTCAGGACTTAACTTGTTTATGATAATTCTGCCAAGCATTTCTTATCGTTTAGTACAAAAAATTGAAAAAATATCTTCATTTAATTTTATAGGAAGAAGTAAACGTAAGTGGATTCGGTACATCATCGGACTACTTCCCTTATGTTTCATTCAAAGTGGAAATGAATATATTAGAATTACGCTAAATATCATCAGCAAACTGGAACTGCAGCTCATTCCAACCTTTTTGATGTGGTAATACAACCACTCAAGAAAAACAAATGAAAGCATAATATATCTTCTAACTTCCTCTTTTAGTATTCTTTTTAACCCCTTGATTTCTTTAACTTATTTTATCTTTATATGTTATATTTTTCTGCAATCACCAAATTTCTTAGTTTCAACTTTACTAGCATATTCTTTCCACATGATATTCAACAAAATGAAGATAATATTATTTTCAAAATCTCTTGATTACTGCTCTTTCTATTTGAAATAAAATGCACTAAAAAAAGAGAACAAAGCATTTCTTCTTTTGGAAAAAAAGAGTCAAGTTTTTAGAGGAATGAAAAAAAGTCAATAACAAAAAAAGCCCAGTATACTAATGCAGTCATAAATACAAGTGTACACAGTAAGGAATAAATGTAGTACAAACACCAAGTATTTATAACCAAGTTCATAGGTCTCAGACTTTTTCAGTTTGAATGTTCTCTATAGTTATACGTTTTCCTTTTCTGACTATCACAATTGATATTCGTTCTCGACTTTCTGTTGCTGTATACACTTCCTGGGCATTTGTTATAGGTATACCATCAATGGCAACTATTACATCACCTGCTTTCAATCCCGCTCTAAAAAAATAGACACATGAAATTTATATTCAATGTCAATTTTGAAATGTGTTATTCAGTAGCTGATAGCAATACGAAAGTAGATTTCCTACACATGGAGTAATATTCAACTTACTTGCTAAATATAAGTGTTGGTAACAGTGTCAAAACAGAAGCAACACGGTTGTAATTTTCTTTTCGGTAATGTACACCACAATCTCTCAGTAGTATAAACTTGCGTAATAGTGACCGGTGAGTCTATTTCTCAGGACATATACTTAGTAAAGCGTACATGAGAACATTCTCAAGTCGGAAATACAAATAATAATAGTCACTTATCTGATGTTTATACACAACTGAAGACGGTTCACTTAGCCCTTACCAATTTACGTCACCGGGAGTTCAGGGGAAGTTGCAAGAGCGTATTATGGCCATAGATGAAAAATAGCATGTGACAGGGGTTTTGAAGTAAGTTTCAATAAAGTAGAACCTGATGAATGGTATCAAAGTGTTTTCATAAGGATTGGTAAATTAGTCATTCTATAAGTGATAGAGCGTCAGTGGCACATGGTCTGGGGTTCGATCCTCGCCCGACGCACTCCTTTACCTCGCTTAGCCAGTAGTAGAACTGACAAAGAGGGAAGGTTGAGCATGAGGCTAGCAACCCCATCCTGTAAAAATAATCACTGCTACAGAAACTTCAAGCCTCTAACTTGAAGCCCTATGTTCCACTGGGAACGTGAAGGAAAAAAAAGGACCTGACATGATCGAGTATCGATCCATCGTGCATAATGAAAGAGGCGATAAAGGTATGAAAGCAACGTTATGCATAGTGATGAGGGAATTGTGAGATTGCACAATAAATGAAGTACGATAATAATAATTAGGCAACTTAAAGGATAAATGTGTATCAGTCATAGACTTATGCAGTGTTGTATTGCACCTTACCAATCGTTATCTGCTTGATTCAATTAGAATATATATGTAGCGAAAATATTTCCTGCAGATAACCAGAGCTTAGGCTATTAAATTCAGCAATAAGCTAACTATGAATGCTTCAAGTAACAAAAATCCTCGAGGGTCACACCTGTCACATTGCTGAAATGCCTATTTATGCCGTTAGCAAAGCAAACGTACTTCTTAACTGAGTGTGATGACGCAGGCAAAACATGAGCAATGAACATTAACATGTGTTGACTAGACATCATAATGACTACGTATTTGTGGCTTGTTTTATTTGGGATCATCAATCTGTTGCAAATAAAATCGCCTCACCCGCATTTCAGATTATTCCAATGTCGTTTCGTGGCTATTGCAGATCTTTTTTTTTATCTTTCACGTTCCCAGTGGAACATAGGGCTTCAAGCTAGAGGCTTGAAGTTTCTCTAGCAGTGTTTATTTTACAGGATGGGGTTGCTGGCCTCATACCCAACCTTTCCTCTTCACCAGCATTATTTCTGGCTTAGCGAGGTAAAGGAGTGCCTCGGCCGGGGTTCGAACCCCGGACCATGTGCATGGTCGGCGAGCGTCCCAACCGCTATGCCACCGACGCTATTGCAGATCACTGACAATATTTTAGTGTGGGTTCTTATCCTCCGTTGATGATGAATTATATTGATTGCTTGAGGCAAGTTCAGATTTTATAAAAATCTGAAGACTGCAGTAATCACTCATATAAAAACAGTGGACACATTTCCAAGCTGCTCATTGGTAAAATAAACACCATGAATAATAGTAACATGTGATAAACTTAACAATAGTTGAACTTTAAAAATAATGAATAGGAGTGTGTGGGAAGGGGGTTGTCTGTTACCTTTGAGCTGGAGAGTTTCTGAGTACAGCATGAATTAGGACACCATCCTGCACTTCTACAAATTGATGTTCACCACGAGAAGCTAATTCGAAGGCCAGTTCTGGAGTCAGTGTTCGCATAACTAAGCCTAAGTACCGACGTTGGGTTCCACTTTCTGTTCTAGTTGAATTGTCTGCTAAAATATATGGATCAGTAGGCGATTTTGATGTAAGTGGCGAAGAACTTCGAGATTTTGATGATGCTGTTAAAGCCAGTTGTATAAATTTTCGAACTTGATCGACAGGTATAGCAAATCCCACTCCTGTACCCGCCACCATAGCGTTAACTCCAATAACTTCGCCGTATAAATTCACCAATGGACCACCTGAATTACCAAACTTAGTTGAAATAAAAATAACTTAATGTAAGTGCAATACCACTGGAGATTAAAATTTATTCATTTAGCTGAAAAACAATTTTCCGACCCTTTGTATACCAAAGGAATGTTATATAAAATAAAAATGAAAGTCACAGGTTTATCTGTCTCGCTATTTTACTCTACGCCGTCTCTGGCATAGACGTGATATCCGGCTATCGACCAAAGGGCGGGTGTACTGCTCATCAGTCCGCTCCGTCCTCCTTTATGGCGGTGAGACCTGGCCATTGAGAGTGGAAGACATGAAAAGATTAGCTGTCTTTGATCATAGGTGTCTGCGTTCTATCTCCCGCGTGAAGTGGTATGACAAGGTGAGCAATATTGAGGTTAGGCTTCGGTCGAGTGCTAGGTAAGGAGGGGAAATCAATCGACGAGACTGTGAAATTACATCGACTGAAATGGTTAGGACATGTGTTACGTATGCCTAGTCATCGCCTTCCTCGACGGGCAGTGTTACCTGACATAGGGTCAGGCTGGAAAATAGTTAGCGGCGGTCAAACCAAAACATGGCACTAGTTAATGAAATCTACAACAGTTAGTTTAAGCCACGTAGAAAGGTGTAGACTTCCTGGTTGGGGTCCTCGGGATAGTAAAAACCAATGGCTGGCAACAATTGGTGATACGACTCAAAATCGTTCTCAGTGGTGCAGAAGCATCCACTCCTTGTGACTTGTGATTTCCAATGAAACTAAATTGTTCTTCGTTATTACTATTCCTTTGTCTCACACCTCTGTTTACTGTCCATATTATACATTTCTTCTACTTTCTTCTCTTGCTTTGTGTGCTACATGGAGTGTGGCGGCTTGAACTGCCGCACATTGGTGCAAAGTTCTATGTCGAAAACAGACAGACAGACTCTAGGGAACGATGACTCTCGATTGCAACGCCGAGTGTATTGTACGTGTTTTCACTCCGTTTATACTTACTTAGAAACGTCAATCAATCAATTATAAATAAATACTTCCGTTTACAATCTGGGAAGTTTTATGCAGCTGAGCAATCATCGTTTGCATAACAATCAATAATGTTCCTCACTTAACTATATATATACTTCAGTTCAAGTTCTAAACACGTCAAATCAATTGGATTATTTTTAACTGATGAAATATCATTTCAGATAATAAAAAAAAGATTGATTCAACTTTGGTATGTGGTGCTATATGTGATACAGGTGACATCTAGTAATATCCATAAATGACTGGGAGTATTGTTTAACACTTCTGTTACTAGCGTGATAAAAGAAATCTGGAAATGTTTACCCACTAGGCTACTTACTATTGAGTGTTGACAGCCACACTTCGTATACAAAAGGTAATGATATGAAATTATTTATTCGAGTTGGTAATCATAATGATATTAAGGAATCTGTTCAAGGAGCCAAAATGAGACTGACTAATTCGCTTTAAAAAATATTATCGGGGAATCAAACGTGTGAATAGATAATAGAAAGTAGTGTTTGAGCTAATCAGCAGAGCCCCCGTCCCCCACCCTCCACGCAATAACTTAATTCTCTGTTACAAACTGATTTCAACTATTCGAGAAAAAAACCACATGATTGCAATATATATCATAGTAGATATGATAGATATTACCGGGAAAAAGACCCTTCTATAAAGTGCTGGAAATAACTGACTTCATTGTATATAAATATGTACACCGTTGTATTTTTGTGCATTATTGACCAGAGAATACAGCTAATGTTGTTTGCCACTTCTTCTGTCCCCGATGAAATTTAGTACTCATTCACAATAGGATTTGAAAGTGACAGTTTAAACGTACATTCATTGACACATACATTAGAAATGGACGCCATATAAAGAATTCAATCAGTTCGGAAAGTTAACTTCATTCTGGATTGAAATCTAGCATCAATCCATAAAGTGTATGTATATTGGTTTGAGTCACACAGATAAGGACAGATTAACTACTAGCTAGAGTCCTCGAAACACTAAGAATCTATGGTTTAAAGCTGTCGCTGATAATGTAACAACAGAAGGCAGGGGCCAAGCAACAAATTGTTTACTTAGGAAATCAACAGATATTTATATATTTTCATGTACATTATAGATTATTATAAGCAAACAAACACAGTCTTCTGATTGGTGATTTCTCGCTAAACGTTAATCTTTCATCTCTTCGTGATCGTTTCTTGAAGTTCAGATTATCTATCCGCAAATTGTTACTTGAATTCTGATCCATAAGGCAGTAGGGCAACGTCAGTAGCTGTGTACCCATGGATCCCAGTGACCAGAACAGGTTCATATGCCATTTAATCCGCTTGGATTTCATAGTCCATGTACAACCATAGGTTTGGAATCATGGTTTTCCAGATATTCTAGGTAAACTAGCATTGTAATGACAGACGACAAGAGTCAGGCAACAGATCGTTTATTGAGAAAATCAACAGATATTTATAGATTTTTATGCACATTATTATTCGCTATTGTTGGCAGAGGAACAACATCTTCTGATTGGTTGTTTTCTTGCTGAAGGTTATTCTTGTCATCTTTTTGTGGCCGTTTCTTAGAAAGTCAGACCATATATCTGCGAATCTTATTTGTACACGTTAAATCTGCTGTGATTGGTTGGTGATTTCCTCAAGGTTAGTCTTTGTTCTTGTTTTTTCTGATGACCCCGATTTGGGACGTAAACATTGACGTAAATTGCTGTCTACCAATTTTGGCTACTACAGAATATCTACCAGTCCGGCTGTAAATTCCAGTCCTTTCACTTTTGTAGGAAACACTCTCGTTAATCGTGTGAAGACAGTGAATAAGGTTTTTACCTGGCATAGGTTATGAACGTGTGGACACATGAGAGAATTCCAAGGGGAAGACCGAAGTCTCCCCATCCTCTGCAGTACCAGTGTGGTGACGACTAGCTGCCAGCCTAAATTGGTAGACAGTAATTTACGTCAATACCTACGTCCCCAATATTGGTCGTGAGGAAAATAAGAACAAAGACTGACTCAACAACCAATCACAGCAGACTTTGCGTAGGCGGATACAATTTGCAGATAGATAATCTGAACTTCAAGAAACGGTCACAAAGAGATGAAAGATTAACGTTCAGTGAGAAACAACCAATCAGAAGACTGTGTTTGTTTGCTTACAATAATCTATAATAATGTACATGAAAATCTATAAATATCTGTTGATTTCCTAAATAAACGATTTGTTGCCTGGCCCTTGTCTTCTGTTGTTACACCAGTTCGTTTATAGGGGATAATCTCAACTGAAAACAATTTTCATCTCGTACTTTCTACTGTGTTGTGGACTATTATGTGATTTATTTTTCGCTATAGAGACCAATTTTGAGTAACTGTATCAGTTATGACACACACACCCACACCCCTATTACTCAAAAATAGGCTGCTACACGTTTTTAGTAAATAGAAATACAATCATACAGCCTTTAAAGATGACTTTATCGACAAAGGGAATTTTTTTAAATTGTCTATACACAGTTGACAACATTTAGAAATAAACCATTGGTAAATTGTTCTTATTATTGTTATGCTACAAAAGATAATAACCTTTGAAGTAGTAGTTGATTTAGAAATTCCATACAATTATTTCCCTTTACTCAAAATTTAGAAATGTGTCATCAGTTTTCGACATTTACAGGTACAGATGAATTTGTTGAGCAAATAAATAAGGACAGAACAGGCTTTCATAGATGTGAAAATATAATATCCGATCTGTTATTTGCACTACACTAGAGAAAAAAAGAGCTTTCCTTGAAGATGTATGTGTTTATTCTGAAGACTAAATTTATTAGTTTTGAAGTTAATTTTGTGCGTCAATGGTAGTATATCTTCAAGTGTTGGTTTGTAGGGATTTGATTGGTTACAGGATTTCATGATGAGCTGACATTGGTTAGAGAACCATTGGAAAACCAACAAGGAGTACTGGACACCTGTTTCATCCTAGATTGGGACTCTTCATCAGTACGCACCCATCGGGGTTCGAACCCAGGACCTTCTGGTTACAAGGCCAGCGAGCTCGTAGACCATGAAGCCTCTGAAACCCGATCCAATGGCCCATGAATTCTAACTTCTGCCAATTCACGATATAGTGCAACCGCTAGCCAATGTCTTCGGCGAGTATTTGTCCTCACACCCGACCTGCTGCATCCTACTGGTCACAACTTCTCACTAGAACCCCAGGTAACTACCTACCTGAATAGGGAAGTCGCCAGTGAGCATCTCTCATCGACATTCAAGTGTTGGTTTGTAGGGATTTGATTGGTAGTATATCTGCCAGTTACTCACACGGGAGGTCAAAGTCCAACTTCCGGTCGATACACTCACTGAGTTTACTAACTAAGTAGTAAGTTCAGAGAGTAGAGAAGATTAGGAGTCAGACTATCAATCTAACCTCGTAAAAAGCAGCACCACGGACACTGAAATCTTAAAGCCATATGTTCTATTTAAGATGACAGAAATGTAAAAAAAAGTTAATTCCAGAACTGTTAGAGACGCTAAATACGTCTTTCAATCCATTCACTGTGGATTTCGCTCACTTTCTTGTATATGATGTAATCCAAAATTATAAGATAAGATGTTCAGAGCATGGAGGACTTTAAAAAAAAACTTACTGTTATTATAGCATCAGTTTGAATATATTTTAAGCCTTCTGAATGACCGAGATCTCTATCGACTGCAGATACAACACCAACTGTGACACTATTAGCCAACATCAGTGGACTTCCTAAGGCTAATACAAACTGGCCAGGACGAATTCTTTGTAAATTAGCAGCCATTGGTAGATGTGGAAGGCTTTCAGCAACATTTTTCTTTACATCTAACTATAAGTTAGCATAAACAGAGACATCAAGTTAAGAATAATAAATGCCAACAAACAATGGGATTAAAGTGTAAAAATAATTATCTACTTTTCAAATGTTGCTTATATTATTATTGTTCCCTTGGGTTCCTAATGGAACATAGGGCTTCAACTACACGTCTCCACTTCCTTCTGTCTTCTGCTGTACTTTTCACCTGCATCCATGTTAGTCCATACTGTTTCAGCTCCTTTTCACACGATCTCCTCCATGTCACCCTTGCACTCACGTCCCACTACTCGCCGCTTCCACTCCACGTTCCACTCGAGCGTTGGCCTGACGCGCGATGTCACCCAGCGGCCTCCTCAGCGAGTGTCCAATCCATCTCCACCTTCTCCTGCATATTTGTTGAGCGATTGGTTCTTGTTTTGTTTGCTCCCATAGTCTTTTGTTGGTGATTCTTTCCGGCCATCTGATCTTCAGTATAGAAAGAAGACAGCTGTTGATAAAGGTCTGCAACAGGCTGTTGGAAATATTCTTTGTGACCCACCGCCAAGTTTCTGATTCATCCGTATAGAAGAACTGACTGACTTGACGTTTGTATTGAAAATCCGAATTTTGTTGTTGATGCAGGCTGAGTGACGAAGATTTCCAGATTGGTTTCAGGTTGATGAAACCAACTCTTTTATCAATAATCATTTATTGATTCCAATAAAGACCTCATCATTAACCAAAATCAGTTTAAGAACCGTTAGAAATGAGGGGTTACTGGATAGTTCAATGAGCTACTTTCTGAAAAGATGAAATGAAGTTTTTAAAATATAGATGATTGAATATTGATTACAATTCTTTTTCGTTTTTCGTATGCATCTCACAGCACTGTTTAATGTTCAACAGATTATTGGCTGGAAAAAAAACATTATGAGGAGCAGTTTAATCGGCCTACAGCCACACTTAACCTGCCGAACATCCAACACCTCCCTGAATAGGATATAGACACAGGTCCTCCGTCCTTAACTGAGGTTACTAAAGCTATCACTAATCTGAAGCAAGGCAAAGCGGCGGGACCTGATGGAATGACTCCAGAGGTATTTAAGTACGGTGGAGACAGTTTACTGTCTGCACTAACTGAGGTTCTAGGCAGCGTCTGGGAATAAGAGGAAGTCCCATCGGGTTGGTGTAAGTCACTGATCATCCCGATATAAAAGAAGGGAGACAAGTCTTCTTGTGATAATCACAGAGGGATTAGCTTGAATAATATAGTATCTAAAATCCTAGGCTCAATAATATTGCATGGACTAATTGGTGCTCGGGAGGCGCAAACACGAAAAAACCGGGCAGGTTTTAGACCAGGAAGAGGGTGTAATGATCATATCTTCACCCTTCGACAGATTCTAGAACATATGCATTCCTACCGGCGCCCGACAATCACTATATTTCTTGACCTAAAGGCGGCATTCGATTCTGTCTACCGAGAGGTACTCTGGCGATGCTTGGCTGTAAAGAGAATGCCAAGAAAATACATTGCACTGATCAAGACACTCTACTCGTACTCATGCAGCCAGGTGAGGGCTTACGGCGAGTTGTCATCTGAAGTGGTGACAACTAGTAGTGTCCGTCAAGGATGCCCATTATCCCCATTTCTATTCAATTTCAAAATCGATGTACTAATGGACTTAACCCTAACTCACTTCAGCGACTCAGGGATTGACTTGCTACCAGGGAATAATCTCGCTGACTTAGAATATGCAGACGATATAGTCCTTCTAGGCGAGAACGCTGAAAATATGCAGAGTCTTCTGGACACCTTGAGCTGCAATCTACGAATGTTTGGCATGCGATTCGCTCCCTCAATATGTAAGATGATGTTACAGGACTGGACTACACTGACTCCTAGATTAGAAATAGGAAGTAAAGTGGTAGAGCACATTGACCGCTTCACTTACTTGGGAAGTACCATCAACCCCAACGGGTTGATCTCCGACGAAATCTCAGCACGAATACAGAGAGATAGGTTCGCAGATGCCAGTTTATACCGTCTCTGGCGTAGACGTGATATCGGACTATCGACCAAAGGGCGGCTGTACTGCTCAGTAGTCCGCTCCGTCCTCCTTTATGGCTGTGAGACCTGGCCATTGAGAGCGGAAGACATGAAGAGATTAGCTGTCTTTGATCTTAGGTGCCTGCGTTCCCTCATGAAGTGGTATGATAAGGTGAGCAATATTGAGGTTAGGCGTCGAGTGCTAGGTAGGTGGGAGGGGAAATCAATCGACGAGGCTGTGAAATTACATCGACTGAGATGGTTAGGACATGTGTTACGTATGCCTAGTCATCGCCTTCCTCGACAAAGGGCAATGTTAGCTGATATAGGGTCAGGCTGGAAAATAGCTAGCGGCGGTCAAACCAAAACATGGCGTCAGTCAATGAAATCCACAACAGTTAGTCTAAGCCACGTAGGAAGGTATAGACTTCGTGGTTGGGGTCCTCGGGATAGTAAAAACCAATGGTTGGAAACAATCGGTGATATGGCTCAAAATCGTCCTCAATGGCTGGCGCAGATGCATCCACTCCTTGTGACTTGTGATTTCCATTGAAACCATATTGTTCTTCGTTATTACTATTCCTTTGTCTCACACTTCTGTTTACTGTCTATATTATGCATTTCTCCTACTTTCTTCTCTTGCTTTGTGTGCTACATGGAGTGTGGCGACTTGAACTGCTGCACATCGGTGCAAAGTTCTATGTCGAAAACAGAGAGACAGACACAGATTGTTGCATTAGAAAGCAGGAACACAGTGGCTCTTTGATGGAGTCATTCTACCTTCAATGACAAGCTGTTAAATAATAATAATAATACAACAGATGATTCATTGTTAAGGACATGAACATGAGCAAAATGGTTAAGAGTTAACTGCTAACTTAGCAGTGTAAATACTTTTAAACTCTTACGGTTTATACTTGAATAATATTAAGACTCTGTTAGGAGTAGTTGGGTCTTTTTTGGAGGAGGAGTAATAGAGTGCAATAATGCTTGCGACGTGTGCGTCGGTGGCACAGTGGTTAGGATGCTCACCGACCGTGCACATGGTCCGGGGTTCGATCCCCGGCCACAGACGCACTCCTTTACCTCGCTACGCCAGAAATAAAGCTGGTAAAGGGGAAAGGTTCGGCATGAGGCTGGCTAGCAACCTCATCCTGTAAAAATAAACACTGCTACCGAAACTTCAAGCCTCTAGCTTGAAGCCCTATGTTCCACTGGGAACGTGAAGGAATAAAAAAAAATGCTTGCGACATCACGGTCGCTATGTACTATAGCAACTCATGTGTCAAAGTATTTTAGGCGTCTAAAACATCAGAAATTTTATTTGTGATAAATTAATTATTATTAATATGTAAATAAAAAAAATTAACTAGTTAACTAGAGACAACAGAAATTACTACTCACTCGAATAAGTGCCAAGTCTGAGGATACATCAACTGCTAGAACTTTACCAGGAAATGAACGACCATCACATAGATGAACCATAACATCACCCCGATAGCCAACCACATGAGCATTTGTCACTACATGACCTGAATTGTCCACAATAAAGCCTGAGCCAGTTGAACGTGTTTGTAGGGAAAGAAAACCTTTGCTAAATATAGAAAAAAGGGTTAAAAAAATCAAGTTATCAAACGATGTCTTATTATGCCAAATATAAAGAATGACATTGATAATAAGTGAAATATTGGAAAATTCGACAGGAGAGGTATACTTTAAGCTTCTGGGACATCAATTCGTTACGACTGAAGTATAAGTGTCTGGCAGAAGAAGCATCAAAGATAGGACTTCAGGTGAACATAGAGAAAACAGAAGTGATGAAGATTCCTGGGCAACACCACCAACAGCAACAACAACGGACAACAATAAGCATAAATGGAAGGAACCTGAAAGAAACAACCTTCTTTACCTACCTGCCTGGGAAGCATGGTTTCAACTACAGGCGGAACTGAAAAGAATATCAAAGCAAGACAAGCTTTCACTACTCTCAAGTCTGTGTGGAGGTCAACAGCACTCAGCATGAAAATGAAAATAAGATCCGGATTTTCAACTCCAATGTGAAGTCAGTCAGTGCTACTATACGGATCAGAGACTTGGCGCGTCATAAAGAGCATCTCAAACAAACTACAGACCTTCATTAACAGTCGTCTCCGCTCAATCCTACTCAAGATCAGATGGCCGGTCAGAAAAGATCAGCAACAGAGATCTCTGGGAGCGAACCAACACAGCAGGAACCGATTGTGAAACAAATAGGCAGGAAGAAATGGAGGTGGTTCGGCCACACTCTGAGAAAGGCATCAAGTGATATCACACGCCAAGCTCTCTCTCTCGAGTGGAACCCGAATGGGAAGCGGCGAGTTGGTCGTCCAAGGGTGACTTGGAGGAGGTCATGTGAAGAGAAGATGAAAGCGTGTGGGCAGACTTGGAGCCAGGTGAAGACTCTAGGAGAGAACCGAACGCAATGGAGACGTACGGCTGAAGCCCTATGTTCCTCTAGGAATTAAAGGAAACAATAATAATATAATATAATAATAATTAATTTCTTAGGTCAAGAATTCTGAAAACTATTGGTTTTCAAAGGTTCATATACTCAAGAGTAACAAATTTCCGAATACAAACTAACTACTACAAACATACACAAACACATCAGCCAATAAAGAGATAGGTATCCCCTAAGGAGAGATAAATGCATCGGTGGCACAGCCGTAGAATGCTCGCCAACCACTTCACAGGTAGTTCACGGTTCGATCCCTGACCGACGCTCTCCTTCACCTCGCTAAGCCAGTAATAAGAATGGTAAAGAGGAAAGGGTGGGCATGAGACTAATAACCCCATCCTGTAAAAATAATCACCACTGCTACTGAAACTTCAAGCCTCTAGTTTGAAGCCCTATGTCCCTATGTGGGAACGTAAAGGAATAAAATAATAAGGAGAGATAATGAACAGAAAGCATTTAACTTTACAAACGAAAGAATACGAAATCACTGAATATATGATGTGAAATAGAAAGGGGCAACTAGTTCATAGAAAAGTATTGAACTAATTCTTCCGAAAGTATGGGAAGCAACAATAAATATTACTAAATCACAGGAATTAAACAACGTCGGAGGCAGGAGAAGCTGACTAGTGTAAGGGTTACATTTAAGGGGAGAAATTAATCAGAGAGTTTCAAATAATTTCAAAGGGACTGACATGAAACTCCGATTTTCCATACACACAATCAAAAAGACGTCTAAAAATGATACGAACTACTGAGAAGCATTTCCATTATAATTTTGACACTAATTGATCTACTAATAATCGAAATCTGTGAACCGGTATTCAGACAAATTTGATTATTACTCTAATTATTCAAAAAAAGAAATACTTTATAGATACTAATAGCTCTAATAACGAAAATACAGTCGAAAAAAATTGTCAAATTAACTAACTCGGTACTGGTAATTGAAACAACTGCTGGTTGTACATCTTGAGCGACATCTGCGACGACATCGAGAGCTTTAATTGCAGCTTGTCTGTCTTTAGGTATTGGTCTTACAATCTCTGCACATTTAGCAACTATTGGAGTATGAAAACTCTTCAACTTTTGAGAAAGATTGGTTTCATCGTCTTCTTCGTCTTTCCAAATCTTTGTGAGGAATGCAGTAACAAAAGCTGTTTTAACAAGCAGTCTTGGCTGACCAGAGGTTTTCTGTTGATCATGGTTATATGAACACCTACTTAATGGTATAATGTATGACCTCGAAGTATATACATTCCATAGAGATCTCCTACTGAAAAGACGACAAGACTTCGTGAAAAATCGCTGCCACAAAGTATTCTGAAATAGAATTAAGAAGATTAGTCACTTAGAATAGAAAATAATACAGAATATTATTAGAAAGTGTGTAACGACACTGTTAAAAATGGATGCAATATGAATTTCCTTGCTACTAATAATGTAGTGTGAGCATGGTCGGCGAGAGTCCTAACCGCTGTGCCACCGACGTACAATGCTCACACTACATTATTAGTAGCAAGGAAATTGTGTGCGTCGGTGGCATAGCGGTTAGGACGCTCGCCGACCATGCATATGGTCCGGAGTTCGATCCCCGGCCACCGACACACTCCTTTACCTCACTAAGCCAGAAGTAAAAAGCTGGTGAAGAGGAAAGGTTGGGCATTAGGCTAGCAACCCCATCCTGTAAAAATAAACACTGCTACAGAAACTTCAAGACTCTAGCTTGAAGCCCTGTGTTCCACTGGGAACGTGAAGGAATAGAAAAAAATAATGTAGTAATCGAAAGAAATACCTACGTAAACAATTCAAAATGCGCACTGAACAATGTTAAACTTATTAGAGAATTTTAACAACATATGTCTAGTTTAGTGGATTAAGACACACCTAACGCAACTGTGAAGTTTCCTCAAGCATGATACTCTAACTTTACTGTATTACTGTACTTTATCTCCACAGAATTAAGTCATGAATACGGTCCATAAATTTTTGATATTAGCTAACAGTAGAATTCCATTTGAGACTTGTCAGGCAGATGTACCTGCACCCCCTCCCTCTCAGTACAAGATGTTATCCCGCACTGAGACTCCAACTCAGTACCTATCGATTCAAAAGTCGTAGCGTTATCCACTACGTCGTATGGAAGATTACAAAAACAATGAATACATAATTTTAAAAGCCATAGATGACTCGATGAATTGCTCAACTCGTTAACGTAACCTATACACACATCATAATGCAGTCTTAGACAATGCCAAAATTAGACTGCAGATATTCCATATTAGTGTTTATTAGGTGTATCACACAGTGATGAAACAGTATTATTTACTGGATGACGAAGTTTCGAACACTATTTACTGTTCATAATCATATCATCAATTATAATCACACGACTTTGAAACTTGAGTTTTATAGTTTTCTTTGTTGTCTCCTGTTTGTCGTCGTAGGGGTAGTAGAATTTTCCAGATGTCTGGGACAGGTGTTGAATCATCCCTATTGCATGTATTTGCAGTTGATTCGATAAACAAAGCCTCTGTTATCAATCTCTCCCTATACCCTGTGACATTAGATTTTAAAACTGTCATCTTATCCCATCCTATTCTCTAGATTTCTTATCTTACTCGGGTCAACCAATCTAGATTTTGCTAGCTTTTTATGTTCGGCTAGTCTGACTGCGCCTGTTCTACTAGTTTGACCTATGTATTCGATCCGACAATCATTGCATAGGGTATTAGATAAACTAAATTGTTTTGTTTTAAAGGCTCCACAGTTAGGATCCTTTAACCGACAAAGCTTGTTTCTAATTGAGTTTGTGGGTTTGAATGTCAGCCATTTTTATTCCTGCCTTGTTAAAAATTCTGCGTAAGGCTTCGGAGGTTCCTTCCTTGCATGGAATTACTACTGATGATTTAGATTCATGTAATAGGAATTATTCATCACCTGTCCCCGATATCTGGAAAATTCTACTAAACCCACGACAAATAAGAGAATACAAAGAAAACTATAATACTCAAGTTTCAAAGTCGTGTGATTATAATTGATGATATGATTATGAATAATAAATTTTGTTCGAAACTTTGTCATCCAGTAAATAATACTGTTTCACTGTGTGATATATCTAATAAACAAACTAATACGGAATTACTTACTACCACAGTGCCCAAGTTTTACACATATATTAATAGATTGCAGATATTGTCTACATTTTATAAATATCGTATTAAAGGTTCCCTGTGGTATAATATACGAGAGATACCGGAAAGTATAGATCATGGACAGATACTAATCACCGAGTAACATAGACACATACAGTGCAGTATGATGAACTGCTATGAACCATATGAACAAAAAGAACAACAACAGTAACAAAATAAAGCTCCGTTTTCATATGTCAGTGAAACAACTCGATCAATATTTTTATGAAAGATTTTATTTGTAAAGATTCTTTCATGAGCAATTCATGATGAGTACTGTCTTAAGTATCCGAATTAACAGACAAATATTGAATTTATTGAAAATCTACATTCGATTTGAGAATAACACTTTAGTCAATTAAGACAAAATTCATATGTCTTACACAGATAGGTACCTAGTGAACAGACAATTATCTAATAAAACACAAAATAATCGAGCAAAGAATATTCTTTTCGATAAATTCCTCTTCTGGCTTTAAAATCATATATATATATATATACATATATATATATATGTTTATATACATAGAATATTCTAGAATAGTAGTCAATAGCAATATTCGTGTTTTTTAAATAATATCGATTTGTAAAGTATTATTATTATTGTTTCCTTTAATTCCTAGAGGAACATAGGGCTTCAGCCGCGTGTGTCTCTATTGCGTTCGGTTCTCTGCTACAGTCTTCACCTGGCTTCAAGTCTGCCCACACGTGTTCATCTCCTCTTCACATGACCTCCTACAAGTCACCCTCACACTGACGACCAACTCGCCGCTTCCCTTTCGAGTTCCACTCGAGCAATGGCTTGTCTAGTGATGTCACTTGATGGTTTCCTCAGAGTATGGACAATCCATCTCCATTTTGTTCCTGCCTATTTGTTTCACAATCGGTTCCTACTGGGTTGGTTCGCTCCCAGAGATCTCTGTTGCTGATCTTGAGTGGTATTGAGCGAAGACAACTGTTAATGAAGGTCTGTTGCAAAGTATGATCAATGCAATTACAGTTCATGTAATAATAATAATAAAAATAATAATGAAGATATAGTAGCGAATAAATTATCAACTAAAATTAGGAAAATTCCACAAAAATTCATGATCATTCAAAACTAGTTGGCCAAGGTAAGGATAATGTCTGAACTAACTTCATTTGGATGCATAAATTAGGCTTGTTAATGTGGATCCCAATTGCCAGCCTCAGCAATATTTAGTAGTCAAACTCTTAAGGCAAAATTGAGATTCGTAGGTATGCGGTAAATAACCCTGAAAGCATGGTTAACGTCAATCTTGTGTTGTGTATCCACAAGATGAGACATTTAGGTTTGAATGATCATGAATTTTAGTGGAATTTTCCTAATTTTAGTTGATATTCTATTCGCTACTATATCTTTATTATTATTATAATTTAAGCACCTTTAATGAACTGTAATTCCATTGACCATACTTTACAAATCGATATTATTTAAAAGCACGCTAATATTGTTATTGACTACTATTCTAGAGTATTCTATGTATATAAACATATATATATATATATATATATATATATATATAATAGTAGAGCCGGAAGAAGAATTTATCGAAAAGGATATTCTTTGCTCAATTATTTTGTGTTTTATAGATGTCTGAGTGAATATTTTTGCTATATTGAAATTATCTAATACATGTCACATCCAACTTTTTAATTATCAAATTATATTAGAGATCACAGAAATCTGAAACAACCATAGTCGAATAAACAAAGCCATTCATCTAACACCTAGACTGCGAAAAAGACAATCAAAGGAAGGTGCAAAGTGAAGATACCTATCACCTTTCATTTGTCAATAAGTTGTACCTCTTCAATTATTGATCTCAATCCATGTCTAACTTTTCTACGTCAAGCCCATATTCTTCGAAAAGCAGCATTTTCAGTAGGTAGCAATCAACTTATTTTATTATTTTTTCCCTTAGTTCCTAAAGGAATATAGGGCTTCAGCCGCACGTCTCCGTGCGTTCAGTTCTCTGCCAAAGTTTTCAACTGGCTCCACATCTGCCCACATGCTTTCATCTCCTCTTCATATGACCTCCTCCTCCATGTCACCCTCGCACTGACGACCAACTCGCCGCTTCCCATTCGGGTTCCACTCGAGAGATGGCCTGGCGTGTGATGTCATTCACTTGACGGTTTGTTTTCTCAGAGTATGGCCAATCCACCTCCATTTCTTCCTGCATATTTGTTGCACAGTTGGTTGTTGCTGATCGCCTGAGATCCCTGTTGCTGATCTTCTCTGGCCGACCATCTTCTCTTGAGTGGTACTGAGCGAAGACAGCTGTTGACGAAGGTGTATAGTTTGTTTGAAGTGCCCTTCGTGACACGCAGTGCAAGTCCCTGATCCGTATAGTAATAGCACTCACTTCACATTGGAATTGAAAATTCGGACCTTATTTTTCATGCTGAGTGCTGTTGACCTCCACACAGACTTGAGAGAAACGAAAGCTTGCCTTACTTTCTCTATCCTCACTGCTTTGATATCCTCGTCACTTCCGTCCACCTGTAGTTGAAACGATGCTTCCCAGGTTGCTTCTTTCAGACTCCTCCCATTTATGCTGACTGATTGTTGTTGCTGTTGGCCAGGAATCTGCATCACCTCTGTTTTCGCCATGTTCCCCTGAAGTCCTATCTTCTCTGGATGCTTCTTCTGCCAACTTGTTGCTTTTCACTTGCATATCCTCCAGTTTGTGGGGAGTTAGACATATTATCGGCAAAGTCCAGATACTCCGAGTTTCTTCTGTGGGTCCATTTTATGCCTGTTTCCTCATTCCCTGCTGTCTGTCGCATTATCCAGTCCACTGCAATCAGGAAAATCATTGGAGATAGTAAGCAGCCGGCTTGTCTTACTCCCGTCTTCACTTCGAAGGATTCCCTGAGTTTCCCGTTGTGGATTACTTGGCATGCAGAGCAATCAACTTAGTGAGTGTTTTTGATTTAAAAAAAATAGTTAACGTAATTTTAGCTTTACCCTGTTCACAAAAATAGACGTATCAGTAGATACTGGGGTTAAATATTTCCAAATACATGAGAATTTATCAAGCGTTTATCTTTTACGACGATAGTTGTAGTAATCTTTTCCAAAACGACTTTTATGAGCATTCA